CCTTAAACTGGCCATTGTAACACAATCACAGTCTGCTGACTGGGTCAGGAATGGTCACTCAGTTACAAAGCCCAGCGTCATAGGCCACACACCAGGCCCCCTGTGATGACTGCGGCCAGACCCACTGGTGTTTCTGGGCCATGCACTTCACCTGTAGTCAGGATCAAGTATCACATTAAACAATCAAAATCTAAGGTAATGGATTCATACATTCAGAGGATAGGTTCTGTATGCATATGATAAAAGAAATTCTTCAATAATCGTAGCTTGGGCCAGAAAAGGCAAATACTAGTCAGTTTAAATATAAATATTTTAGTGGAAAAAAATATGCAACAGTATTTAATCTTGCCAGTATTTATCTTCAACTAATTTCTACCAATTGAACTAAGTCTAAACACTGAGTCACACAAAAGAAAGACTGGGTTTTTGTTTTTTCTCTTTTCCTTTCTTTTCTTTTCTTTTGGTGCTAAATACATGACAAGCATGTTAGAAGTATGTTTTTTTTAATCGAAGAGAAAATTAATCGTACCTCATACTAGCCTACAAAACTGATTATTCTTCTCAACTTGCAAGTGATAGGCAAGAGGTCTGTGGCCACCAGAATTCGGAGCACAAGAAGAACAAACAGGATTAAATATCAACCACTTTGCAGGATTAAAGTGTAAACAAATGGCTTCTTCTTCATGCCATTAGGCTAAATTTCCAACATAGCTGAAAAGTGAATTAACAACTTTGGTTCCAGATTAAATAGCAGGAGATTGAGGGGGGAGGGACCCTCCTCCTCCAAAACACTTAGAAATTCTGGATAAAATATAACACATTCTTTTAAGTCTACAGAGCAGCATGAAAGAAAGTAAAGGAAATTTCCAGGGGCCCAAACAAAGTAGCTGGAAACCAGAGGGAACCAGAGGGGAATGGAGTGAAGTTCTGCTGCCCCGAGGGCGTTGGCCGACTTGGTAACTAGATCCCGGCTGGTAACAGCCATTCCTGGGGCAGAAGACAAAGTTGTGCCAGCACAAGCTACAACCAGTACCCCAGAAAGTCTTGGATCCTCAAAGGGCTACACTCTCAATAAAAGAGCAGATTCGGAAAAACCCTTCCATGCACGAAAGATAGAAAACGAAGAAGAGAGTATGTTTCATTCTCAGCTCTGTTAGAAATCAAGGGTTTCCTAAATTCATGAAGGCTTGAGATTCTAATATACGTGACTTTTGTGTTTCTGAAAACACCAACTTGGGGTTGTACCGGGTTGATGGTGCCACAGGACACCTTGCAGAAGCAAAGCCCAGTCCTTAAACCAGAGTTCAGAAGCAACACAACACATATATAGTCCTTTGATCCATGTCCACGGTGCAGTTCAGTAACTCCAGTCTTTTTAATAAATGAGCCTGGATCAATTGGGAAAACAATAAATCTTGGCCCCCTGCATCACCCATTTACAAAATCAAGTCTGGCTGGATGAAAACAATAAAACTTGGCAACTACATCCTATGGGCCAAGTTTGACCTGCTTCTGTTTTTATAAATAAAATTTTATCGGAACATAGCCACGCCCATTCATTCACATTTTGTCTATGACTACTTTCCACAATGGAAAAGTCAAGTAGTCACAACAAAGACATATATGGCCCACAGAGCCTAAAATATTTATTATCTGGCCCTTTGCAGAAAATACTTGCTGTCTGCTCTTCTATAACAACATGGGAGGATATTTTCATGACTTTGGGGTGGTCACATTCTCAAAAGTACTAATGATGAAGGAAATAACTGATGAATTGGACTACAATAAAATTAAGAACTTCCATTTATCAAAATATACCATTAAAATGATGAAAATGCAAGCCACAGAGAGAATATATTTATAACGCATGTACTTGATAAAGGACCATGTCCAGAATGTATGAAGAACTCTTACAAATCAATAATAAGACAAGATAACCAATTAAAAAATGGCCAAAGACTTGGGGACAGGCTCTTTGCAAAAGAGGATATCCAATAGCCAACAAATGTATGAAATTCCATCAGGGAATGCAAATTAAAAACATAATCAATTGGTACCACACACCTACCAGAATGGCTAGAAATAAAATTTTCAAAAATAATAATGCCAAGTGTTAGAATATGAAAAATGGGAGCTTTCATATACTGCTGAAGGGAATATAAATTGGTATATCCACCACGGAAAACTGGCAAGATCTATAAAAGCTAAATCTGTATAAAGTCTCTCACCCAACAATTCCACTCTTAGTTGTATTCCCAAGAAAATGCATGTTTCCTAAGTTATATGTACAAGAATCCCATGGCAACTGCACTTATAGTATCCAAAAACTAGAAACAACCTAAAAGTCTGTGAATAACACAATGGATAAATTCTGATATTCACACAATTCAATACCACACAGCAGGGCCAGCCCCGGTGGCCCGGTGGTTGATTTTGGTGCACTCCGCTTCAGCGGCCTAGGTTTGGTTCGTCTGTCAGTGGCCATGCTGTGGCAGCGGCTCATGTACAACAAGAGGAAGATTGGCAGTGGATGTTAGCTCAAAGTGAATCTTCCTCAGCAAAAAATAAGGAAAAAAAAATACCACACAACAATCAAAAGAACAAACTATTGATACATACAACAACATGGATGAACACACACACACACACACACACACACACACACATATATTAGTTTGCTGAGAAAACCTTCGCAGAACACCACAGACTGGGGACTTAAACAACAGAAATTTATTTTCCCACCACTCTGGACGCTGGAAGTCCAAGATCAAGGTGTTGGCAGGTTTGGTTTCTTCTGAGGCCATTCTTCTTGGGTTGTACATGGCCACCTTCTTGCTGTGCCCTCACATGGTCGTCCCTCTGTGCTTACACGTGTCTGTAGGCTTCACCAGTCATATTGGATTAGGGCCACCCCTACCACCTAGATGTCTTCGTTTTACCTTAAGTGCTTCTTTAAAGGCCCTTTCTCTAAATACCATCATATTCTGAGGTGCTGGGGGTTAGGACTTCAACCTATGAATTTGCAGCGGACACAATTCAGCCCATAATTATATATATAAATAAAAGTGAAGGAGTGAAAGTCACACGAAAAAAACGTATATTGTATGATTCCAAAAACTAGTGTACAGTCATGCACTGAACAAAGACGTTTCAGTCAACAACAGACCAAATATACAATGGCGGTCCCATAAGATTAGTACCAAAGGGCCTAGGTGTGTAGTAGGCTACACCATCTAGGTTTGTGTAAGCACCCCCTATGATGTTCAGACAGTGATGAAATCACCTGATGATGCATTTCTTAGAATGCATCCCTGTCATTAAGCAATGCATGACTGTACATGGCAGTAGAAGTCGGGACAATTGTGGTTATATTCTGGGGTGAAGTAACGGGAGGAAACAGGAGGTTTCTGGGGTGCTAGTAATGTCCTGTCTCTTGATCTGGGTGGCAGCTATACGTGAGTGGTTATTCGTAAGGATTTGTTGAGCCATAGCCTTGTGATTTATTTATTTATCTGTATTTATCTTATAGGTCAATAAAAAGTTTGTTTAAAACTTAAAAATTCAAACAAAAGTAACAAAAAAGAAAGTACCAACTTGAAACGTGCTCACGACAAAAACACAAGGATGCGGATCAACACAAGCAAGTTTGGAAGAAACAAACACTGACCTGACCAGCACATCAAGTATTTGTAATATTGGAAGCAGATAATAAGATAAATAAGTTTAAAGATGTAACGGGGGGGCTGGCCCCGTGGTGTGGCGGTTAAGTGCACGTGCTCCGCTGTGGTGGCCCAGGTTCAGATCCCGGGCACGCACCGACGCACCTGTCAGGCCACGCTGTGGCGGCGTCCCACATAAAGGGGAGGAAGATGGGCACAGATGTTAGCCCAGGGCCGGTCTTCCTCAGCAAAAAGAGGAGGATTGGCAGATGTTAGCACAGGGCTGATCTTCCTCACCAAAAAAAAACAACAACAACAAAAAAACAAAAAAAAGATGTAACAGAGGAAATAAAAACATAATCAAAGGACAACATATTACTTTTTAAGACCAGATAGATTGAAAAAGCCTCGAATAGAGCTCATAGAAATAAAAAAAAATACAATCATTGAAATAAAAAAATTGAATTTGGGGGCTAAGGATCAGTTTAGACCTGACTGAATAGTAAATTGCTGGACTGGAAGACAGGTCTGAATAAACCACTCAGAACACTCTGCTGAGAAAAAGGTGGAAAATGAAAGAGAAGTTGAGACATGGAGAATCAAATAAGAAATTCTAACAGATGTTGAATTGAAATTCCAGAAGAAAGGCACATCTATCTATCTATCATCTATCTATCTGAGAATGGCTAATTTTCAAGAATTATAAAAGATCCAAATCTACAAACTGAAAATATACAATGAATACCAAACAAGAACACAACAGAATCCATTAGAAAATTAAATCCACCTAGAATTACTATAGTTAATCTGGGGAAAATTAAACTGACTATTAATTTATCTAATTTTCTTTCCTAGTTAATAATGATCTGGTTATTGATACCAAAATCCACAAACAAAAAATTCCCTCTTTTGATCCTTCCCATGCTGTTCCATAGCATATAACATAATACTGTTAAATTAATTTTATAGCAACAAACCTTCAAACAGCTTGAAAGCTGCTTTGAAATCTTACATCTTTAAGGACCTACAAAATATTGACCTTACTCTAAGATCTCACCTGAATAATTTTTTAGACTTTGTTTTCCAGAACAATCACTGTGGGCTGTGGAAACGATGATAAAAGTCCTCTTAAAGCTGAAACAGAATCTATCAGTCTTCGCAAATAGAAAATTATCTTGAAAGAAACTTCTCAGATATTTATATTTTAGGTGTCAGCAGTATCTTTTCACAATAATTTTTGCCAGATCTCTGAATTTAACAATGACTTGTTATTATGCATGTGTCCATGTGAAATATTACATTTTTTGAATGAATTGTCAAAATTTCCTATTCTTTCTCCAGCAAAAATAGATCCTCCAGTCATGAATATAATCCAAGTAAATGGATCTTTGTTGGTGATTCTCCATGCTCCAAATTTACCACACAGAGATCAAAAAGGAGAAAATGTATCAATGGAAGATTACTATGAGCTAGTATATCGGGTCTTTATAATTAACAATTCACTAGAAAAGGTAAGTTCAGATGGATAGATGTTTGGTATGTTTTCCTTTTGTTCACTGAAGTAATATTTTAGCCATAAAATATGTCCTCTCTCTTGCTACTCTATCCTGTCTTTATCTTGTTTCAGTTCCCGCTCACTTCCCCCTCACTGAAAAACAGTCAGTGCTGGCATCTCCATCAGAGCTTGTGTGTGTGTGTGTGTGTGTGTGTGTGTCTTTGCACCTTTCAGTCACTCAGTTTATCTCCACTTGATCTTCCCTGCTTATCCAGAGATTGGTATTAACGACATTTAAGTCCGTCTGATGGCCATAATATGCACTTTCATGGCCTTTGCACACCCTCTTTGAAGCAGCCTTTGGATCACATCATCATACTCGTGTGCCGGCTTTGCTGTGATGTTCTTCGCCACCATCAGTGCCTTAGTCTTAGTTTGGTGGTTAGTCGAATGTTCCTTCTTTGGTGTCCATCTCAGACAGGGTTCCTTCGGTTGTAAGGAACAGAAACAGTCAAACTCGTTCAAATAGGAAAGTGGAGGAGAAGGAGGAGTTTTATTAGGAAATAAGCAATCTTACGGGCAGCCAGAGCAGGAAAGAAAGTGCTGCCAGGGTTTGTAACCACTGGGAAGGAGCAATGGAGCAGCGAGTCTTCAAGACTCCCACTCTGTCTCCCTGGGGTCACGTGTTGCACGCCCACAATTGTCTCCAAATCTCCTCCCTTCTCCTCACTGCACAGTTCACATTCTTGACGAAGAGACTCTGACCACCGGGTCAATCCATCAGCGCCCTCATGTAGCACCTACACAGCCACTTGACCTGTCTCTTTATCAGGCTGGAGAAGGAGGCAGAGTCTGGGAAGAAACCCTACAGCCCATCGACTACTGTGACCTTGAATAACTTATTAATTTTATCAAAAATAGAGCAAATCAGTGACTTCCTGAAAACCATGTATCGTCTCTTTTCTTTCCTCGTGTTTAGGAGCGAAAGGTGTATGAAGGCGCTCACAGGGTTGTTGAGATTGAAGCTCTCACACCTCATGCTGTTTACTGCATAGTGGCTGAAATCTACCAGCCCATGTTAGACAGAAGGAGTCAGAGGAGTGGAGAGAGATGTGTGGACATTCCCTGAAGTGTGTGGTGTGCTCGTGGTGTGGACATCCAAAGCTCTCTGACATGAGATGGCTCATGTTTGCAGGATCTCACTGAAGATGGTTTTACATTTTCTTAAAGCAATGCTCACCATTACACTCTGGGGCTGCTTCACTCATCCATTCTTTCTTCCTTTAGATGTTATTTGTAAACTAAATTTAAGCAACATACCCTCCCTCAAAAAAAATTAGAATTTAAAGAAGAAGCAGAAAATAAAGGACTCTATGAAATACGGAACTTTATTTCTGAATGTAACACCCCTAACAACCATCTCCATTCTTCTGACAGCTAAATAAAAATTTGAGAACCAAGGAATAGTGGGCATTTAACAAAATGTAGTTGAATTAATTTTTTAAAAATAGCATTCCAAACAAGCAATCCTTTTTCACTCTCTGTTGAGACAGTTAACTTAACTTAGATATACCAACCTTTACATGAATGGAATTTTTACATGAATGAAAAATTTCCTGTATACTTCTATTTTATATGACTATACTTTTTCATACATTTATTTTCTATTGTAAAGTATTTCTGCTTAATGAACCAATATTTTCTTTTAAATGCTATTCTTTGTAAATAAGAATGGTATTTGACAAAAAGCTCTCATGATCTCTGGATTAATATCTAGATTGAGATGATCAACAATAATGTCTAAATTCCAAAGGATGCCCACTCAATACAATGTCCCTCATTTAACACATACTCAAATTAAGGTTTTCTTTTCTGTGTTTGTATTTGTTTTGTTTTGTTCTTTAATATTGCACTAGAAGAATTTATCCTTCTTCTCAAAATCAGGTATAATATTTTTTAGCAACAAAGTAAAAAAGAAACCTTAACTCCCATTTATACCACCCTCACTACTCAACCCTCCTGGCAGAGGGTCCCTTGGCGGTGGCCCCTTTCTAGTCTATATACACAAGGATCTTAGGAGTGGCAGCGTTGGGGGGGATGTGGGGGATGGCTATGGACCAGGTAGAGAAGTTGGCTTGAAACTGAAAGCATGCAGTGGGTGGTGGGTTCATGTGGGAGGGGGGCTGGTGCTCACGGAGATTCTAGGGCCAGTTGAAGCCCACTGACAACCTCCCTAAGCACACTGGGCTTAGTCTCGTGTGTGTATTTACAGTTGTCTTTCTTGTGAAGAGGTATATATCGGAGAAAAGTTGTACAATTCCTCTTGGAAATTGCTCCAAAATGTGATAAAAATACACTAAGTGCTTCTGGTTATCTACAATTACATGCAATAATTAATGGATTAAAAATTATCCTGAAATGCACGGAGGAAGAGAGTCAGAGACAGAGCAGGAGGTAGAGAACTGGTTTCATTGCCTTCCCACACGGCCAGAAAAAAGTCAATTTAAGCATAGATCTAGAGACAAAAAATTACTTTAATCTATGTTTTTGAATTATGCTTTCTTTTCCCTTTTGCTTACTATCTTTTTTACCTTTCGTCCTTTTGAGGCAGCATTAAGAGCAATGGGATGGGTGGGAAGCAAGGATTGTGTGCAGCCAACAGCATTTAAGTTTATGAAATTCAATAGTCCTGAAGCCTGATTTTAAAAGCAGTTATGGTTGCCTCGTGAAAGGTATTAGGTGGCATCAAGTTTTGTTTTTATTTTGTTTGTGTTGCTTTGTTTTTGCTTTCATGCTTAGGCAAGTCACTTAGGCAAGAATAAAATATTTTGTAGAAAATAATAATTTTCACATTCTCCATTGTGTTAGGAATATATTGTCATACTATTTCAATAAATCTTTTAAATTTTTTGCTTTGCATTTTGAAATATTTGTTATTTGGGTTTTTTAAAAGAAAGATAGAATATTTAAGTCTGTCAGAAATCCTCATTAGACTTCTCAGACTGCTGCTAAGTTCCAGCCAGAGGGAGGAGTTCCTTCCTTTCTCTCACATCCTATATTCAATCCATCCATCAATTCTGTTGGCTCCAGCTCCAAAATATCACATTTCTCACAATGACCTTATTCCAGGCCCACTTCATTTCTCCTCTGGATAACTGCCACCTCACTGCTCTCCCCGGCACTGCTCGTGCCTCCCTCTAGTCCAGTCTCCACACGGTAGCCAGGGCGGTACTTAGAGCATAAATAAGATCGTGTCCCTCCTCTGCTCCTAACCCCCCATGGCTTCCCGTCTCACAGGGGTGGAAACCAAAGTCCTTATCATGCCCCAAGGCCTGTGGTCGCTTCCCTGTCTCATAATCCCTCAGACCTCATCCCCCAATTCTGGCACACTGACCCTGTTGCCTGGCCCTTAAGTACAAATGCTCCGGCCTCGGGGCCTTTGTACAGCTGCTTCCTGGAGAGATGTGCCCAGATATCCACCAGCTCACTCCTCACCTCTGTCGAGTCTCTGCTGGAAGGCCGTTTTATCACTGAGGTTTCCCTCCCCATTCCATTTAAACTTGCACACCACCCCTGCAGTCTCTCTACCCCACGATTTTCTCCATAGCACTGTGTGAAAATTAATACAGGGAAACCTCATCTCAAGTGGAGTCAGGAGGCCAGAAGGGGGAGCTGTTCCTCTCCCCTGTTTGCTGGATCTGCCCGTGGTCTGCCACAGCACGCACATCCCAAATCGCAATTCTTGGGCTGTTCCCAAATAAACCCGTTTCGCTGGTCAAATAACCTAACCGGCTGCTTTATTTTTAAGGTTGACAACTTAAACCACCTGCCACAATACAGTTTACTTGTTTATCTTGTTTATTGTTTGTCTTCCTTCCTCCACTAGAAGGTAAAGGCAGGTCTGTCTTTTTTTCACAGCTGTATCTTTATTATCTAGAACTGAACTAGCACACAGCAGACAGTCAGTTACTATTGTTGGATAAGATAATGAATCAAGAGTGGAACCACTGAGACCATGGCAGGGGTGAGGAGGACAGGAGGGGGGCTTTTCTTATAATTTGTACAAGCTGCTGCCTTATCATCCTCCACAGGTTAGTGGGAGAGTGAGCCGTTTCTTACAGAGCTGCAGAGATGGAGACAAGCGGAGGCCAGGTCTTGGGCAGCTCTGACTCTGTAGCAGAAAACCTTTCTAGAATAATTGTTTCTTCCTCCAACTGAGTGTCACCTCCTAGGCACTGTTTGTTCTCCTTGGCTGGTGGTCAAGTCCAGAAGTCCTGTCCCAGATTTTCTTTAAAAGGAGAGAGAGAGTGAAATCGGGAACGTAAGAGGACATATCCACATTGACAAGAAGGAATTCCAGAGAGTTCTCAAGGCAGGGTGGAGGTGAGTGACAGGAACCATGAGAAAACAAGATGCCCTGTGAGCAATGAGCCCGTCCCATCTTGGGTTGGGTCCGTCGTCTGATGGAGTGGGCTACAGAGGGGAGCTAACATTTACTGTGCTTCTAGATGTGCAAGCCCTAACACATTGAGGGACTGTCTACGTGATGGTGATGAGAAAGAAGGAAAAATTCCAATGGACACATAGATATAAACTTTCCTTGTATGGCAAAAGACATGGAAATTTGGAGAAATGGTTAAATGATGAAAGAAAACACGCTGCTCTCAGCGGGGATTAGCTCCCCAGATCCCTACATTTCCCCTCAAAGACATAAGATCATGGTGACTGCCAGCTGCTCGGGATAAGGCCCCCCAGAGGAGAGGCCCTTTCCGTTCTCACAAGGCTCTGATACCTCCTGGTTCCCATGACATCAATCTTTCTAGAATCCTGGTTAAAGGCCTGCCTACTACAAGGAGCAAGCCAATGGTGACAAACAATCTCAGCTCAGTCGTGAGAACTGGCCGAGGGGGTGGACCAAGCGACACTCATCTCTCAGCACATCCCTCGGCAGTTCCTGGCTTCAGCCTGTCCGAGGTCAGCATGTGCACGTGCATTATTCCTTTAACCCCCACACTTGCCCACAGGGAGCCATGGTTGTTATGCAATACATAGTCACCTATTTCATAGGTGAGCCTCTGAGAGGTCAGAAACCACGTCTGTCTAAGGCCGCAGCTCACGCACTGGATCAGACCTGCTAGAACTTCCTCTGGGTTTTTGTACCTACGGATTCCCCTTTAGTACCTTAGTTAAAATCCCCTTTTTAAATGTGTTTGCCCTGCTGAACTTGGGGACTTTTTTTTCTTTAATGTCAATCAATATATTTAAGAGCAAGTGGTGACCTTTAGGGTCTTTTTTCCACTGTTTCCGTGGATTTTCTTTTGTTTATCTTATCTTGCTGGTGGACCATGTTCCCTAGAAAGAAAAGTAGGCCTTTGTGTTTAACAATGACAAAAGTCACCACATAGCCAAATGTTTGATGTTGCCAAGACTGAACCGCCAAAACCGACTGCTACAGAGCAGGGGTGTCCGAGGAGAGGGACCTTGACCCCAATGCCCCAAAGATAGAGATTCTTTTTTTTAAGCTAAGATCTCGATCCCCTTCAGCACTTCTTCAACAATAGCTAGTCCCTCTTTACCCACAGCTCCTGGGCCTATGTGGGCAGGGGCTGGTCTACAGGCCACTTCTCCCAGTCCTGGGAGCCCTATGCCTTCCTCCTTTCTTACCTCCACTAGGTCACGGAGAGCAGCCAGTTATGCTTGACTGACACGCTCGTGAATAAGCTGGTTCTGCCAGATGTTTGCATTTGGGGCTTTTTTTACCTGTAAAAGATTAATCTGGAACGAAATGCTTCGCCCTGAGTGAAACTAATTCCAGACACAGTGTGCACCTGGAAATACACATTTTAGGCAGAAAAACCCTTCACCCTGCCCCTGAAATCATTCCGTGCCCGAGGCTGATGATCGTGGAGATGGTGAGAAGAGGCGGTGGGAAGCCAGCGTGGCCTCTGCACGGCCATCCTCTCTTCACACTCACCCTGGTTTCATCCACCCACCCAAGATTCCCACATGACAGCTCACTGTCCCCCTTGCCTGTCCTGTTTGTCTTCTTAACAAATGGGTCTCCTGCACCTCCCCCACACACATACGCAGCAGGATCACCTGGCGGGATTTGACTCAGGTAGGTCAATCTGTTCTCTTCAAACACTGAT